ACTGACATTCTTTTTCTAGCGCTGAAAGAAAGAGGTTTTCCATGATGTCCTTTTATACTGATCATGTGCATATATATGTTTGTCATGCCTCACATACTTTAATACTCACGGCAAAAAAGTAAATTTGGCCAAATTATGAGCCCTATCCTTCCACCTATACAAACTATCCCCCAGGTGTACAGTAGGGTACCTTTGAAAGTTACATTATGTTTTTAAAGGCACCAGGGTACCGTCTACTGCCCTCAAGGAGTAACTTACAAAAAGGCTCTCTAGAAACCTGCAAGAATTAATAACCACCAGAGTGTAGCAGAGTACTAGCTCAGTGTTTTCAGATCTGAAAAACTATTTAAGCCTGTATCTTAAAAGATATCATAGTTTTTATTAAGTTATATTACAGTTTTTATTAAAAACAGAAATGATAATCAATTTTAAGTATGTACCTAACTACACATAAAGGCAAACACTAGCACTTTAAAAAACAATTTAAGCACTCACCACTATTGTTTTTCAATGATTACTACCAAACCACTGGCATCATGCAAAAAACCTAATTTATACCAGCAAAATTAAGCTAATGAGCGCCACATTTTAACACTGGGATGGCAATATAAAAAGTCTAATAAAAACTGTTAGTCAAGTGTATGATATCTTTCAGTGCATTAATAAAGAGACAGCAAATAGCACTGAGCAGAAGAAACTGGTATAGCATAACATAGGATACGACTCATTTGGAACCATTAGTGTATAAATATTCTCTCCAGAATTGAGGGCAAAAAAGGGCTTCTCAAGTGTTTGTATCTATTTGTTTTACATTATAACATACTGCTGCTAAAAAACTGAGATGAGTTCAATATACAGTAGCAGTCAGCATGGTAACATAACACACAGTCAGGAGTTTCTTTCACAGGTATATAGAAATATTTAAGTTCCCTCTTTCTCCATCTATAGCCCCCATGGTATTTCTAGTATAATCTCCATCCCTGTGCTTTAGGAATACCATTAATTGGGCCTCTTTTGTAATGACATCTACAGTCTATCTCAGCCTTTCTTGATTTATGCCTTTCCTAATCCAGCTTTGATAACATGGTCTCAAACTCATCAATTTCTTCACTCTTCTGCTGGTGAAACCCCCAAATCCCAGGTAAATGGGAACTCTCTTCTGTGGTATATCAGAATAACTGGGTGTTGCTAGAAAAAAGTCACAAGCCATGGGGACTGGTAAATACATGATTTCCAACACCACTAGGTGCTCCAGACTGCCCGGGCAATCCATTCTATTTCCCTCTCCAGCTTGCTCCCTCACTCTCTGCAGGACTATGCACGCCTTCTCCATTCTGCAGGCCTCCCATGCTCCCTTCCTCACTGCAGACGCTTTCAATTTTTACAGTTCATCTTGATGGAAATCTCAGACAATAAATCCCTTATTCCTTCTGATGTTAAAAACCTATGTATCCATCTACATATGCACCATCCCCTTGCATCTTTTTTCTGGATACAATGGAGGAAATATTTCTCTTCCTATCAGAAAGCTTCCTTCTACAAGCCTGTGAACCTTCTCTCTTCCCACTTTCTCAGTAACCTAACTCCACAAGTTATGCTGCTCTCCTCTGAATCGGAGGAAATATTTCTCTTCCTATCAGAAAGCTTCCTTCTACAAGCCTGTGAACCTTCTCTCTCTTCCCACTTTCTCAGTAACCTAACTCCACAAGTTATGCTGCTCTCCTCTGAATCTGCATCTTGTCCTTCTAGAATGGATCCTGCTCATGAGTACTTAAACATGCTCTAGTCTCTCCTCCATGAAACTCACGTCACCCAAGCCCTCTCCACCGAGCTGCTTCCCCCATCCTTCCTGCTCTTCACAGCTCAGCTTTTCCACCTATCGCTATACACACTGTCACCACATATCTCACCTTCGGTCCCAGTTTTTCCCCTGTCGCTTTTCTCCTCGCCATTCCAGTGTGTGGCTATATCCAACAAGTACTTTTCAACCTTCCTCTCACCTAACCTCGTGGCAGTGTCTGACACAAATGACGACTCTCTCCTTGAAACCCTCTTCTCTTGGCTCTGTGCTATTTTTGTCTCTTTGTCCTCTATGGCTTTAAACAAAGCTGATTTTGTTTATTCCTCCTTTTCTTTTTTTTGTTTTGGTGGCTGGCAGGTACAGGGATTGAACCCTGGACCTTAGTGCTCTCAGCATCACACTCTAATCAACTGAGTTGACTTGGCCAGCCCCTGATTCCCCTTTTTCAAGCCAACCCTTTAAAGTTAGAGCTACTCATGGCTCAGTCATCAATCTTCCGTTTTTCCCTCATTCTGAGGGAAAATGACTACCAAATCGGTATTTCAGCCATAGGCTTCTATGTTTCAGGCCCTTATTTGGGGGCACACCTCCATTTGTATGTTTCACAGGCATCTAAACCCTACTGGTTCTGAAACCTCTAACATCTTTCACAGAGGCTATTTTAATAGCATCATATTTGCCTCACTCACTTCCATTCTCAAGCCTGCTCTCACCACAGTATTCTGAAAGAACTGAAACTCCTAAACTTGCTTTATTTTTCTTCATGGCACTCACCACCTAGCATAGTGCTTATGTGTGTGTTTAAAAACATATCCAAATGCCAATTAATATACCACTTATAATATATTGCACATATAATACAAACAGGTTTAGGGAAAATAGTCACTTTGACATGAAAAGAAAGAGTTGGAGGATACACTTTGGGAACACTCTACTCTAGTATTAGGACATCTAGTATTAGTACATGCAACTTCTTATGTGTCTTCTTTTGAGTCTTTCGGAGCATACAAGTAAAGAAAACAGTGTTTAAGTAATAAATTGGACAGACCATATTATTTTTGTATGTATGTGGTATGTGGTTGGTCACTCCCAATCAAGACAGCAACCAAAGCTGGCATACAAAAATAAATGTCTCTCACAGGCAGTGTACAAGCTTGACTAATGTAGGAGAAGTTCAAAAAAAAAAAGGTAGACACATTTCCTTCAATGCAGCATTACTTCCTCGTGGCTTTGCTATTTTGAAGTGTTCTGTGAATGGTGATGCAATCTTTAAGGACCCTGTAGCTAAGGCCTACTTGCCTCAAAATGTAGATTAGAGAATGAACCACATGGTCATGCGGAAGTAAAAAGCCAAAACCTCATAGAGATATCACTGATTATACCTGAAGGCCTCTATTATTTGACCTTAAGAAACAAAGTAAGTAGGAGGATCACTTTGCTTTCAGTTCTTTCCTACTAAGTGGTAACTGGTCATATACCTAACAGACACATGGATATAGTTTCCCAAATCCCAAAGACAGTTAAATATAATGAGCACGTAATTAGAGTGGTGGCTTCCTAACTCTGCCTAATCTTCACTCCCTATAAATCTTCACCCCTCTAAATATAACTATGTCCTCAGATCACAAGCCATAAGATTCCCAGCCCTAACCTAAGATTCACAGTCATTAGACTTGTGAATCAGACAGTTATATATTTCAGAAGGATTTTTGAACTGCCACCAGGAGTCATGCACTGCAACACTCCAAAGAAAGCTTTCTATGATTTATCTACAGATATAACAACTGAAAATGTACTGAAGAATTTAATATTTTGTCTAAACAAATTTAGTTAAATAAAAACAAAGTATACTTTCTAGTTATTTAAAAGGGAAAAAATAAAAATAAGTAGAAATTTATCTTATCTATACAAATCACAGAGCAGATGTTTTACCTGGTGAACTCCAGGACATTGAGCAATTCATATCTTTCTTCCTGCCCCAGCTATGAAGAAAAGGAATATATGATTACCTGTGGTTGGAGATATCTTAGGCTTCCTGGAAATAGACCCTAGTCATAAAGTTCTATTGTAAAAAATGTCAACACGTACAAATTTTCCCTTCTGAAACTTAGAAGGGAACTTACTAACTTTCAGATTAAATAAGGTATAAGAAATAGAAATTCCAAAACAGGAGAAAAGCAAAAAGAATTCCAAGTGCCTTAGATTTTTAAAAGAGACAGAATTCTAGACAATAAAATGTATGGTTCAATGAAAAGTGTATAGTTTGACAAAGGTATACGAGAAATTCCAAAACAGGAGAAAAGCAAAAAGAATTCCAAGTGCCTTAGATTTTTAAAAGAGATAGAATTCTAGACAATAAAATATATAGTTCAATGAAAAGTGTATAGTTTGACAAAGGTATACTCTGTGTAGCCACCACCCCAATCTAGATATGAAACATTCCCATCACCCCACAAATTCCCTGTGCCCTTTTCTAACCAATCTCCTTCCTGCCCCGAGGCAACCACTGTTCTGAATTCTATCACCATAAGTCACTTTTGCCTGATCTCAAGTGCATATAAATGAAATTTAAAAAGATACACTCCTTTGTGTCTGGCTTTTTTTTTTTTTTTTTTGCTCAGCATAATGTTTTTGAGATTCATCCATCCTGCTGAGGAATCACTAACTTGTTCCTTTTTATTGTTTAGATATTCCATTGTAGAAATATATCAAAATTTGTTTATCCATTCTCCTACGGATGGGCATTTGGTTTGTTTTCATTTTTTTGCTACTATAAATAAAGCTGCTATGAACATTCCATTACAAGTCTTTTTATGGACACAGACTTTCATTTCTTCTGGGTAACTACAAGTACAATTGCTAGGTCAGTTGTAAATTGACCTTTATTAGAAAACTCTATAAAGGTTTTCCAAAGGGACTGACTGTATCACTTTACACATCTACTAGCAACATGTCATTGTTGCTCTACCTTCTCATTAACATTTCATGCTGTCCATATTTTTAATTTTAGCCTTCTTGGTGGGTATGTAGTGGTATCTCAGTCTGGTCTTAATTTACATTTCCCTGATGACTAATGATGTTCTGTTTATGTGTTTATTGGCCATTCATATATCTCCTTTTAAAAAATGTCTGTTCAAGTCTTTTGCCCATTTAAAAAACTGGATCTGAATAGTTTTCTTAACCAAAAATTGTAATATAATGATAATAATGTTGGGATTATGGGGAAGGATGAGCAAAAGAGATGGTGATTCAAGAGAGATAAATCCTCATTTAACAAAACAGAATAGAAAGTCAGTAGATATGTCTAAATTGGAGAGCTAAAACGTATTATTCACATATTTTTTGAAAATATGAGATGTATAAATGGCTGAAGAAATAGGTGAAAGAACAGAAAGTGGTTGCTTCTAGAGAGGGGCCTTTTGGTATTACTTTATCTTTGAAACTATGCAAATGTATTATGCTGATTAAAAAGAAACTTACAAATAAATAACTTACTGAATCTATAATCACCGAATCAGGTGTTCTTCCAGTGAAAACAAAATTCAATTGCTTGGCTGCTCTGACCAATGCTCCCTCATCTGTTTGGGCAAAATAGGTGAAACAAATACATGATGGAAAAAAAAAAATCCCAAATATAAGAGAAATACATTAGTATAATTTTCAGCTTAATTAAAATTGTTTTTACTCCTGTTATTGAAATCCATTTCTTTTTAAATTACATGACAAAGCCGAAGGAATGGAGAGAATAATCCTAAGTGTCTAAGATGTGTATAGACCCCAGAGTCACCATTAGTCATACATTTCTAAAAAGAATAATTTAAATGTACCCCTTAGTCCAGTATATCCTCAAGAAATCCTTTCTCAATATGCCTTCTTAAGTTTTATCTTTTTCCTCCTAAACAGTTGAATATAGAAAACTAATACTACCAATTGTGGATTCAATTTAAATGGTTTTAAAAGAATTGACATTTTATTTTATTATATATTAATCACTTTCATCATCATGTTATATAAAACCTTTTTGTTGCTGAGAGTAGGGTGCAGAATAAAAAAACATTCACAGTTTCTATCCTAACAATATGAGATGTAATAATTCTTATACTTAAGAATTTGATGCACTCTACAAATCACAGGTGCTGGTTTAGAATATAGTTAAAAACACTGATACCAAAGGTCCTCAAATGCTGTGTCTCCCTAAAATTTTACAATCATCAAATTTACTAGTTACCCAATTTTACATTGAAAATAGGTCTAAAATTAAGCATAAATACTAAATGTTGATAACTGTAGTAATAAATATTTTATGGAATTCCCTCAAATGTGTAAAACTTTCACCACTCAGAGAAATACACAACAATCCCTGATTATAATTTCCAAAAAAGGAAAGCAAAATTGGTGTTCTAAAGTCATATATGTTCACTATTTTTGGCAAACAGATCTTCCTTTTCTTGTCTGCTTATGTACAAACACAGTTTATGACTAACAGTTTATTCTTATTTATAAAGAAGTGAAAAAATATTATGTATATATAAAACAGTACTTTTTTCACTTGTGAGAATTTTGTTACTCAAATTTCCACTTAACTTATGTCACATACCAAAAATTACATATTCAAAGTTATGTACTTTAACACATATATATTTAATCCTGAAAGGCAAGGCTAATTAGTAAATAAAAATTTTAATCTAAGAAACATATTTGGCTATCTTACTTTTCCAAATTAAACTGATTTTTTTGCTAAACGATCCCAAATTTCAGAAGAATTTTCCACAGGAAAATGCTTCACAATTGCTTCATTTGTACCTGGAGATGCTGCTTGATAAATAATCTTATCGCCTTCTCGCTCTGGTACTGCTGTGTGACAGACTGCCATCATTGTAAGAAATTCACATATGATAGGTGCTGTTGGCTGAGAAAAATAAACACATAACTTAGCCACTTTCATTTAAGCATTTTGACACTAATGATGGTAATATTACTTCATGTCTATCTATTAAAAATGCAGCTGTTAAACATTAGCCAACTAAACTATTCAGAAGAAATTATATTTTTAACTCAAATTATTCATTCTCATACTTTCTCATTTACTTTTTAAACATTTATACAAGACAACTTTGTGTAGTCAAATATAAATAATTCGGTGAAAAAGGCAGATGTGGTTGAATCCTATCCTTGGAGGATAGAAAAGAAATTCTAAAATGTTCATTTACCTGGTTGTAATTCCTGATCAGATTTAAATTTTAATTTTAAGATTAAAATTTAATCTTATAGTGGTTCCATTACTTTGGGTTGGGGTGATGATAACAGAGAATTTCTCTGTAATGCTTTTCCTCCCTTTCTCCAAAAATGGTAACCTTAGCCTGATTCATGTTTTACTAAATTAAAAAAAAATTTTTTTTTGATTGAGCAACTCCTATGTCTAGTGGACTTAAAATGGGTCCTTTCTGCAAGGAGCTTATAGTTTAAAAGAGGAAAAAAAGATGGTTATTTAAAAATTAAACATCTTGTCTATCTTCTGATAAAGAGAAATGTCATTCAAATTAATTTTGCTCTTGGGCAAAAAAGGGCCGGCCCGGTGGCGCACTGGATAGTACGCCACTTGGGAAGCGCGGTGGCGCTCCCGCCCGAGGGTTCGGATCCCACATACCGACCGGTTCCCGCTCACTGGCTGAGCGAGGCGCGGGAGCAACGCCGAGGTTTGCAATCCCGTTGCCGGTCCCCGGTCCGGTCCGGGGGCAACACTGAGGGTTGCGATCCGTTGCCGGACACGGAAAAAAGACAAAAAGACAAAAAAAAAAAAATAATAATTAAAATTTTTTAAAAAATGAAGTGATTGGAAAGGTATATCAGAACATTATTTGAAAAACTGAGTTCAGGCTAGAACAGTGGACAAAACTCAGTCCCTGTCATAGGAGGTTTGACTGGCAGGAAAGACATATTCATTCATAGTGTGATGAGAACTTTAAAGAAGAGAATGTGCAACTGTTGTGTGATGATGGGGCGAGTCTGGTTGTTCTCCAGACAATGTGATAGTTAGGCTGATGAGGTTTTCAGAAGAATTGAGCAAAGTGGTTTCCATCAGTGGGAATGGGATATAACTGAAAAGGTCCTAAAGAAGGAGAGAATAAGACGTTTGAGGAAATAAGAGAAGGCAAGTGCGGCCTAAGGAGAAAGAAAGGAAAAGTAGCTCAAAGGTGAGGTTGGCATCTTAGGCAGGGGCCGGATCATGCACTGCACATTAAGAGGGAAGCCAGAGAATGGGTTTTAAACAGGGAAGTGATGGGGTCAGTTTCCACTTGCATTATTCCAGTTATGGGTAACAACTGGAGAAGAATAAAAATGACAGCAAGGAGGCTGGTTAGGAGGCTGTTCCAAAAATCTACAGAGGGGAGGCTGGTGTTCTGGACTGGGGTGGTGAATGAACAGAAACACACACTCAGGCTGTACTCTGTAAGTTAGTATTGACAAGGGCTTGGTGACTCAGAGATCTGGAGACGGAGATAAAAGAGGGTATCAAAGGCAACCCAGAAGTCCTAGAAAGTGTAGTAAGATCAGTTTGGTGCCATTTACTGAAACTGAGAACACAAGAGGGAAGAGGTGGTCTAGGTCTGGTTTTTGTGGATCCCGAAGCTAATATTTTGCGGAAGACTCTCTTAAGAAAGAAAGACACAAAAACACCCAAAGGAACACATTGCTAGGGCCCCATTCAGGGGCAGAGGTGGTAAATCCACCAGTGCTAGAGACGGAGCACATTTTGGGGGTAACAATTATGAGTTCAAGTTTTGACATACTGAGCTTGAAGCAACTGTGGGAAAAAGTTCTGGAATTTAAACTCCAGAAGATCCTATAATTTGATCTGATAGAATATGAATAAGTGTCAGTAACTTTCTACGTGGAATGTTCACACTGGGTGGCAGATATCTGGAGTTCCTATTGTAGATTCAGCACTGGCCTATGAAATTGAGTAAGCAAGTCATTTATAGATATTTTCAAAGTGTTAAAAAATAGTGAGTTGTTTCACACTAATAGAGAGGTCTACAATTGTCTAAAATGAAAGACTGAGAAGATCAAACACTGATTAATGATAATACTAAAACTATATCTCCAATAACCATGAAATCATGTTGGCTATGTGAAAAGGATTTAGCAATAGATTTTGATAATTATTAAAAATGATCATGAAAGTAAAAACATATATATAAAAACATAGAAGATAGTTGAGAAACACTCATTAGTTTTCATTCACCAATGAAAAGACACTGTTTTTCTGTCACTTACATGATTATTTTGGAGATTTTCCAGCAATGATGAATCACTAAATGTTCTTTCATCTCCAAACTGTGAGCTCTGCCTAAAGGGGTAAAAAAATGAAGCAAATCTGGTTCATTTATACAAGTCCACTGATTTATCTGTAACTTACTTTTTAAGTAAATCTTTGTGCCTGAAAACCCTTAAGAAATTAAATATAATTTGGCTTGTATTTATAAATAAGACATCATAAATTTCATGATTATATCATAAAATATATTCAAGCATTCTAAAATGTGACAAACATTTGCAGTGTAATAAAAAATATTTTACAGTCCATCAAATTATATTATAGCCACACAGAGTTTAAAAAATTAATTTAAAAATTATAAGAAATAAAACTGCTAGAACATCTGGAATTGAATTTCTTCTGCTTCCATGATATTTTCAATTTTTTAGAATTCTGAGAATTAATAAAGTTATTATAAAAAACAATATTAATTCCTTTAGTTTAGCCATATGAAAAATTTTTACTTGTAGTGACAAACACTACATGATTAACACATGAAATATAAAAACATGAATAAATTGTTTATATGATACCAACGTTTATCACAAACATATCTGAGCAAATATTTATGAATATATCACATTTGTTGTGTATATACTCATATAGGAGAACAAATCATAAAAGTGCATGGAATACTTTGTATTGAAGCTATATTCGGATCAGCATACTTATGAAACAAAGGTAGTCAGAGCTGCCTCTGTAATCTAGCTATCATTAATCTCATAGCCATGCAATTTAATATCAAAATATTGAGATTCGAGGGCCGGCCCGTAAAAGTGCATGGAATACTTTGTATTGAAGCTATATTCGGATCAGCATACTTATGAAACAAATGTAGTCAGAGCTGCCTCTGTAATCTAGCTATCATTAATCTCATAGCCATGCAATTTAATATCAAAATATTGAGATTCGAGGGCCGGCCCTGTGGCGCACTGGAGAGTGTGCCGCTTGGGAGTGCGGTGGTGCTCCCGCCGAGGGTTCGGATCCCATGTGGAGACCGGTTCCTGCTCACTGGCTGAGCGCGGTGCGGGCGCAACACCGAGGGTTGCGATCCCGTTACCGGTCAGTAAAAAAGACAAAAAGGGAAAAAAAAAAATTGAGATTTGAAGGAAAACCTAAGTGGGAATGTCAAAACAAAAGGGTATAATTTGCAATGCACAGTGAAAATATATAACTCTGAGCTTCTATGCACAGAAGAAAGTTTCAGAATTAATTCACTGAGGAACAAATAGTGCATCCAATACTAAATAATTATAATCCAGAAAACTTTTAATCACAATTTTTACAGGTTACAAAGAATATCATCGACACCAATGTGTCAAATATCAAGATTTTCATATTTTAAAGCCAGAAGCTTGAAAGGAAGGGGAAATCACTGAAGAAAATATAATTTGAAATAATAGAACATATACAATATCTTGAATGAAATATATCTCTCCTGGAAACAAAAGGAGGAAGTTACAAGGTTTACAATAAAATATATATTTATTTACGTGTAGTAGTTTGTTTAATTTATTCTCAAAATTATAAGATAATACATCTTTATTAACATGTAGTAATTCAGAATTCTCAGAATATCCCTGGGAGGCAGAATGAACACATTATCATTATTATTATTATTGTCACTATTAAATTTATTATTATTATTGTCACTGTTATTCTAGTTTTAAAGATGGAGGGAAAAACCCAGGAACTTTTAAATGACTTAACAGGCAGACAATTACCTTGTGATGATTATCTTGTGGACACAGAAACCCAGTTCTTAGAGCACTTGTCTTTCAGCCTTTATAATTTGGTTAATACAATTTTGATCCAACAGTAGAGGCACAGGTTTCTTTTTCTCTCTAGATGAAACACGCTGATAACCTCCCCTATCTGTCTGGCAGCCTCTTCCTGGAGGCCAGGTGAATACAGGCCATTGACATATGCTCTATGAACTACTTCACAAAAATCTTGATAATAAAAGAACGGCTGGAACAACACCTGCCCAGTAGCCGTGGCCACCTGCAGCAGGCAGAGCAGGATGCAGGCTGCCTGAATGAGCTCACAGGCTTCCTGGGTCGATTTCCATATCATGTCGAGGCTCCTCCACAAGGATGGTACGAATGGAGCTTTTTGTTATTAGGCAGGAGACAGTTTTCCAAGGTGATGAGCACCCTAGAACACAGCCTGTATTCCAGTGTAATCCCTAATCAGCACCCTCTGCAACCCTGGAATTGAACCTCCATCCCTTCCTGGCCCGGGGGACCCCCTGATGCCATGGGGTCTTCTGACCCCGGGGGACTGATCCATAAAGAACTATTTTTTGAAAGGGTATGTACCTCCTGCTTTTCAGTGGCACTATTAGTTCCAAATCAAAATTCCTTATACAGAAATTTTTAAAGAATTATTATTATTATTATTTCAGTGGTGGTTGGCTGGTATAGGGATCCAAACCCTTGACCTTGCTTGGTGTTGTTACAAGAAATGAATTTGTTATTCAGAGTGAAGTCCAAGAATCTGAAAAAGTGATTGAATTCAATAATAAGATTTTTGTTAGATGCTGGTTTTGACCAAAGTAATGAAACCCAGTTTTCTGTGTGATTCAAAGTATTTCTGAAGGTAATTACAAAAGAGGAACTCCAAAAACATTCTGTGAAATGACTGCAGCACTGCAATAAATAAATTGCCTGACAAGGTGACTACTTTGAAGACTAACACTAATTTGGATGTGTTAGATCTCATTATTATACATTCATACCTGGGAGAATGTTTTAGTGAGCCTAACTTTTGCAGAAGAATAAATAATTACTACTCACTCCATATGTAATCACAGACCAGAATAAAATGAGAAAATAAATATGATGAGAAAATACAAAATAGAACTATCACTGATACTGTGATAATACCACCATGTTGAAATGACCAAGCACATAATACTTTAAGGTAATCCTCCTGGAGAATCACCCTCACTTGCATTTACTTAAAAAAATTATCAGAAAGAATAATGTGAAATTATAACATATAGTTAAGAAAAATGGAAATAACATGTTATCTGGGTCTTTCTTCAAATACCAGTGAGGGAAAGGCACGGATGAATTGAAATTGGCCTTGAATGTATATTATTGAAGCAAGTGGATGTACACCTACTTCTGTTTGTGCTTAACCTTTTCCACAAGAAAATTAGAAAAAGAGAAAAAATTGTGATGAAAATATATAGTTTGGGAAAATAAGCATATTTTAGTGCTACACAAATGCTGAAAATAAACATATCTTTTTCTCCAGTCCCCCAAATATTGATATTCTCCATTTAGAGAATGCTAGATTTTTAACAGGGAGGAATCAATTGGTGAGGTTATATGCTAGCTGATAGTTCTTGGCAATAACAAGAACACCATACCAATTTCGGAGTAAGCAGCTACTAGTTGGGAGATGATTTTATCTCTGTGAACTATTTATATTAATATATTTAAGAGAGTAGAGCTGCAGCATCATCCAATTGTCTTTAACGCCGACAGAAAATGTTTGAAAGTGTCAATATGTTACAGGTTGCCTTCAAACTCGACTAAATGTAAATATGCAAAATAATCTTCATACACTGAAATGATAAATAATATATGTTTTTCAATTGGTATTTTTATGGTAAATACTGGTTCAAATAGGGCAGTAAAATATATATGGCTCAGGGGTTTTGCATATGGAATGCAATGAACTTCACACTGAAAGGTGAAGCTGCTGAACAGCCAGACTGGGATACACTTGCAGGTTTTGGGTTTACAGAGTCAACTCTCTACTCCTGAAGACCAGCAGCACGAAGATGCAGTCAGATGCCTGGAGCACAGGATTCAACTAGGATCACATTTTTTATCTTGATCTCACTGGCAAAATGAAACCAATTGGATGAAGTTGTGCAAATGTCAGATTTCTGAATGTGCAAAGTTGTGCACCCCTGTGCTAACTTTCCTCAAGTCAGTCATTAAATTTTACCTGCTCTTGCTTAAGAAATAAATTCTGTTTCAATAAATGAAACAGAAAAAATAAAATGACTTTCAAATTGCAAGGATATTTGGGGCTCTAAAAGCAGATATTCTTCAAAGTTTTTTTTTTTTTTTTCCTTTTTGTCTTTTTTGGTGTCCGGCAACGGATCGCAACCCTCAGTGTCACGCCTGTACCGGACCGGGACCGGCAACGGGATCGCAACCCTCGGTGTTGCGCCCGTACCAGACCGGGACCAGCAACGGGATCGCAACCCTCGGTGTTGCGCCCGCACCTCGCTCAGCCAGTGAGCAGCCGGTCTATATGTGGGATCTGAACCCTCGGCGGGAGTGCCGCCGCGCCCCCAAGCGGCACACTGTAGAAGTGCGCCACCGGGCCGGCCCCTTCAAAGTTTTTTAATGATGTACTGTAACCAGCACATATATCCAGGCTGATAAAGGTTTTAACTCTGGCTCCCATGATTATTGGCTGTATACTTTGGGGCAAATTACTTATTAGCTTCTTTGCCTAAATTTCACCAACTTTACAGGCCACGTCAAATACAAATATGTGTGTTATGAGGACTGAATGACAGCTACCAGAGCTAATACTCACTGTGCGCTTACTATGTCCAGACACTAGTATTCTAAGCGTTTTAAAAACAGAACTCATCTAATCTTCAAAACCTCCCGATTATGTAACTACTATTATCATCCAAATTTTTTCAGATGAGGACACCCAGGCAGAGAGTTAAGTAACTTGTTCAAGGGCACCAGTATGAGGAGGATCCAAACTTGGGTGGTCAGAATCCAAAGTCCATACCCTTGACCATTCCACGTGACCTAGGACATACATAGTAGAAGCTCAAGAAATATTTGTCTCTTCATCTTTGCAGGCCTAGAGCTAATTATTTTATAGTTGGAGAATCCAAGCATATATTTTAAATAAAGTTAAGTTTATTATAAAGGTGATAAAAGCCTTCCCTGGGGTTTATTTTTAAAATAATCATTAATATCTAAATTTACATGTAACTACAGGTGGAAATGTAAAGTTTATGAAAAAGCTGGCATTTCTTATTTGGAGTTACCTAGTTTAATATATCAAATGTCAAATTTTCCAAAAGGGCATTTTACGAAAAGAACTTATTAAACTAGATAACATCTTCTCTTTCCAACAGTGATAAAGGACATGAAACAAACTCTATTGAAAGTAAGACATTATATACAATCTGAGTGAATGCTATGGAATGAATTGTGTGCCCCAACGTTCCAGGTATTAGAAACTTAACCTCCACTGTGACAGTGGTAAGAGGGTGGGAAATCCTACTATGGTAAATGAAAGGTGGGGCCTTGAATAGGTGATTAGATTGTGAGGAGTACACTTTGTGAATAGATTAATCCATTGATGGTTTAATAGTGGTCATGGGCATGGTTCCGAGGGCTTTAAAAGCACAGCTAGTGAAGAGGTTCGTGCTCTCTACTTCTGCCATTTTGCCATGTGACACCCTGCATCGCTGAAGTCACCGCCAAAGAAGGCCCTCACCAGATGTGCTCCCTGGACTTTGGACTTCCCAGCCTCCGAAACTATAAGCAATAAACATTTTTTCTTTACAAATTTTCCAGTTTCAGGTATTTCTGTTATCAGCAACAGAAACAGACAAATACAGTGAACAAACACCAATGTTTTTACATTTCCATTCTATCTTAAGAGAAATATGGTGAAGGTAATTTTCTTTTGTTAGGAAATATGGTGAAGATAAATTTCTTTTTGTTTCATAGAGAAAATGTGTACCAACAGTATATTAATGAACAGTGTTTAAAATTAATAGTTATGTTAATGTTACAGAAAAGCAAAGAAAAAGATATAGCCAAAATTTTAACTTCATTCTTAAAGGATTAAATAAAAGGGAATATATACAACATTAAACTTGAATTACCCATTGACAGTAAGATGCTTTTAGCATATATAAAAAACACTAAAAGTTATTTAGTTATGTGTAGGTGTCAAAATACATGACACCGCAAGCAATGAGCATGTGATGACTTAGTTATCACATGAACCAGACAGCTTTCTGTCATTAACCGTAGGTATTATGAGGTTTACTAAAATTTTTCACCAAATCTCCACTTTATTGAAATAAACACACTGAAAAATATGAAATATTACTGGACTTCAATACACATAGGAAATGTGACAATCATAAAATACCTGTGTAACCCATGTTACAAATGTAACCACCTATGAGGGTACTTCAAGAAGTTCATGGAAAAATATAATTAAAAAATATGAATGTTGCCATAAACTTTTTGAAGACCCTTCACATAAAGTCTCAATGTTTTCTAAAGTTACCAGCATTAAAGGAACCTATTTTCTGAAATTTCATTTGCCACCAAGTCCTGATGCATTATAGAAATATCATACTAAACTCATATTATCCTAGATGAAAATGTAAATGCACAGGGGAGAAGATTTTAAAGTAAAACAAATGAAAAGCCCAGAAAGTAGTGAAATTAAACCTATAAGATGCTATCTTTAATAATTCTATAATTAAATATATTCAAGTTAATTCTACTCCTTGGTAGCACATTTTCTGACATTTGTCCCAGACATTTCATTTAAAAATATTCAATTTCTAGCTTCCAAATGGACTTATTAGAATAAAGAAAAGAAATGGAAAGGAAATCTCCACTGCTTGGATATGTTTCAGTAGCATCTTTTTATAGCTCCATATAGTGCAGAAGTAGTGGCAGAAGGTGGCAGTGTTGAGCTAAAAAAAACCCTAAGAAGCTTCAGGAGCTGGAACTGGACTCTTACGTAGTCCACAGCCAAGGGACTCTGCAATTGATCATTAGACTTTATCACAAATAAATAGTGTAAAACTCTAGCAAGCCTAACCTTTAAACTAAATATCTATTAAGTGGCTAAAGGTTATTCAATAGAAATTCAAGGATATTTGATAGATTTCAAAAACTACCTACTTTGTAGCATTGTCACCTTATCTGGTCAGCAATGCTTTTTTCAAAAGTAATGAAATGTGTCTAACCAAACAATGAAATGCAAACCTGTTAAAAGGATCATGAGACAGAAAGGCCCACACAGCTTACCATTCATCAGGAGAGCAGCCATAATCCTCAGGCTCGGGGACATGGCTTCAGAAAGCAAGAGGAGGGACAGAAAGAGAGGAAAAATAATCACAGAAAGGCTGGAAACATAAAACCATGAAAAGGTGGATCTCCAAAAAGTTAAGAAAATGAACTTTTAGTTAAATCAGAAAGAACTGCAGTTAGCACACTAAGTTGAAATGATGATTTATGTTAACTAAGCAGGTTTACAAAGTTATCCACTAGATAGCCAACTCGCCTCTTCAACACAAGAGTTACCGAGGTCTTATGCTCAGAATTCAGAATCCAGTATGAAATATTTGAACTTAGCAGTTTAAATACATGCGAAAGCCAATGAAAAATTAATCATATATATTGTATAATCAGAATAAAGTGTTTTAATGAAACAAACACGCTAACACCTAGGAACAAACTATCACATTGATGAAATATGCCAAATACGTTTTAGAAGTAACTTTGACTACCATGAGATGATGGTTCCTTAAACAGGTACAGTGAAGTAATAGTTAACTGCATTTCTACAACTAAATGAAACCATATTTTAAAAGATTAACTGATATTCAAAAATTTTCACTTAAACCATAGTTCACTCATTAAACCATTCTTTATCTCAAACAGAAACCATGTTCATCAATACTTTCTTTAATTTCATTCATTAGCACAGTAGATCACTAGAAAAGTCTGATCACGGTATTTCATTTCAACCAACCAGTCATATACTCAGTTGGAAGAGGCCCATAATACATGACAGAGCAGGTTTTCTTATTTCTCATTTCTTTCATTATACTCATCAATACTTTCTTTAATTTCATTCATTAGCACAGTAGATCACTAGAAAAGTCTGATCACAGTATTTCATTTCAACCAACCAGTCATATACTCAGTTGGAAGAGGCCCATAATACATGACAGAGCAGGTTTTCTTATTTCTCATTTCTTTCATTATATGTGATTATTCCATATTTTTCCTTTAAATTAAATGTATTAGATATAGGTAGAGTTTAAAATGCAGCAGTCAGTACAAATGTCAAGTCACTGTTGTTTTTGACAAATATACAATAAATTTTGTTGGAAATTCATGGGATCCTTTTACTCCCTAAATGTTCACTGCACTCTCTACCCCTTCATCAACCTGGCTATGACATGGATCTCATCATTCTAAGCCACCTCTTCCACTTTCACAATATTAAGCTGCCTCCAGTGCAGTATCTATTATATCACTCCAATCACGATGGAGGTGTTCCCTTGTACTTACCAGTCTCTCTCCTCCCAAAGGGCTTTTGTATAAGCTTAAGACGAAGGGCTAACCAAGCCCTTTCTGGGCTGAACTCCCAGAAAAAAAGTTGGCCTGCTGCAAAGCTCTGTGGAAATTGGCTGCAACCCAGGGTTTAACACAATTACTTCTGATCAACCTCAAGCCTTGGACCCCGGCCTCTGGACTGTGCCAGGGAGGACATGGTACTACCCAAGGCAACAAACACTGTGCTAGCATTCTGCTAACTTGCACTGGTGTTGTGCCCCAGCCCCTGATCTCATACCAGGAAAGAGGCTGGTGCTTCCCAAGTCATGTAGCTTAAAAGGCCCAGAGCTCAAGGGTCAGAGTCCCTCTCCCTGAGTCTGGTGCAACCCTAGCAGAATGCTGAGTGCTATCCAGAGTATGATGAGCAGCAGGTGACCTGCACACCTGAAACTCATCCAATCTGCATGAGTTTCCCTGTGATCACTACTCCAGCATCTCTGGTGGCTATGTGCTGTCTGGCTATTTGTCCTTGTAAATGCCAGTGGTGTCATATCTACCTGGTACATTCTTCACTTAATCAAATTTGATCTCAGCTCAAGTATTACTTTCTCAGGGAGCATTCCTTGACCTCCCTGATTAGATTAAACTGCCTATAGTAAACTCACATAGCCCTCTGTACTGTGTTAGGACTTTGTATTCGTCTGTATAATTACCTAATTACCATCCATTAACCCCCTTATTAGATTATAAACATTAGAAGGTCAGGAACCAAGTGAACTTTGTTGATTATTTTATTTCCATCATCTAACAAAGTGCCATCTACATAAAAGGAGGCTGATTAACATTTGTTGAGGTATATGAATAAATAAATGCATGGTGCTTTCTAGCATTTATCACCAGTCATGGTATGCAGTAAGATAAATTTGTTGTTTATACAGGTTGAGCATCCCTAACCCAAAAATATGAAATCCAAAATGCTCCAAAATTCAAAATTTTTTGAGTGCCAACATTATGCTCAAAGGAAATGCTCACTGGAGCATTTTGAATTTTGGAGTAGGAATGCTCAACTGGTATGAATTCTGCAAACACTTCCGGTGCCAAGTATTTTGTATAAGAGATACTCAACCTGTAATCTAGACCTTGGGGTTAATATTATAATTGTGAGGTTGCTCACAGTGACTGTCTTTTCAGGGTTAAAGAAGTAGCCGATACTTTCAGCAATCATATTGCTAAAAAAAATATTGTCAGGTAAAGCTATTTACAGATTATATTCATATATAGGTAATGACTGCTGTTAAGAACATTCATTTTTTTTTTTACTTAAGGGGACACTGATATATTTTTAACATTAATTAAGTGCCTTGCCCACACAAAAAGAGCACTGTTTAATTTGCTTAACAGAATGTTTTTTAGCCTCAGAGACTGTACCATGATAAGCCTCACCCAACTCATTCTAATAGCAAGGTCTAAATTGTCAACAAAGATGGTATTTAGGATTATATCCCAGAATTTTACTGTGTTGAGAATCCTAGACACTGAACAGAGAAGCTTCTTATCTATTCCTGGTATTCAAGTAACTGATAAAACTGATTTATTCCCCACAGGAATCCATTTGCTGAAATGATACTTAGATAGAAGTTCACAGTAGAATATCTAGTTTGTAGTAAGTTAAATTTACAAATGATATAATTCATTTACCTTTAACTACAACTGCCCTGTTTAAACACAGTGCATCCCTAACACAAAGCTGATCTCTACAAAATAATCGTCGGCCACTGTGTACAAATCTTTCTATTTTGCTGCCCATCATGAACCCAATCTGGAGCAATGGTTAAGGAAAATAAGAGAAAATTTACTAAAATTAAATTTCGAAGCATTATTTTAAGTGTTAATTATTGTCTTCTTACAAACCTGTAAGATACACAGAACTAGCTAAGGATTATACTATCAGGATACTTCAAGTCTTGTTCTTTCCAGTTGATAAAACAGAATAGGACTCACCTTTGATTCTATCAAGCGTAAAACTGAACTTATCTCACTTCTTAGAAATACTGAAGAAGGATGGGCCCTGAACTTGTAAGCCCAAAGGCATTTCTTAGTATATAAAAGTCTATATTACTCTCTCTTGTTTTTGCCATCTCCTGGGCAGACAGACACCTTGCTTTCTTCTGCTGGGGCTAGAAGTGCTTGTACCTAATAGTTCCCCATGTTAAAAAACTGCTAAACATTGCTATGGGGCAAATGGGATAGCAAAACCATGTTATTTTCCTATAACCCAAGAGTGCCCAGAGGAAATCTCCACAGAAAGGTGGTTGACAGTAATTACTCTCCCCAACCCCAACTGTAGAGATTGGCTAAAATTAATAACAGTGCTATATTCCCTACTGTAAACATGTGATTAGTTACAAGTCATGGTTTCTTTTAAACCTTCATATACATATCAATAACTCTTTACAATACTGACAATCCAATCCACTAGGATGTGTGGGGGAGGGGATATCCCTAAAAAGATGCCTAAAAGCACATACACAAGCAACACATGATTACTGGAAGCAGCTGAACACCTAGCTTTATGAACATGGCTTCTGGGATTCTTGAAAACATGATACCATATCCAAAGAGAAAACATATTTCGGTTTACACAGTTAAAATTTGGAAAGGAACTACTGTTTTTCATTTCTAAACATTACATTGGATTTCATGTCTGGAAAAGGACCTTAGAAATCATCTGGTCTCACCATCCTCATTTTAAAGAGTTGGGAATATCAGAGAAGGAATTGTTTAGGTTCTTAGGGTGAATTTTAGACAAAGCTAGAAGTCATGCCTTGCAATAGTATCTCATTATTAAAAGCTGTTATTTCTCCAAGAGAAAATTCATTTCACTGGCAACTTAATCTAAATGATGACAACACTTAGCTCAAACCCACCCTACTCTCTAACAGTTGTTAATGATGATATCACCCACAGACACAGGAAGAGCACTGCCTAGGGGTGTGTAAGGACCTGTTCCAAGAGTAAGAAAAAACCTGAAAAATGCAGAAGAAAACAGAGACTAGATCTTATTGCAACTTTCTGTTCTGATAATTTCACAATCAATAATTACTAATTTGAAGAACTTGCTTATTGGATGTTAATTATTAAAGAGGCCACTGTAGAAATAATATTTATGAATGAATGCAGAATTTGTATAAAAACAAACACCATAAATCTGACAGCAAGTATAATACAACAAACTCTAGAAGCACAACTCCTTCTCTCCTCCAGGATGACTGAGGGTAGAAACAAAAGTACGAGGGTATCTAGGAGTAACCATACACTTTTAGAATTTTTCACAAAATGGTTATTTATAAATTTGATTCTCAAAATTCAACACTCTTTTTATACTGATTTTCTGCTCAGAGACAGAGTGTGAGTGGGGAAAAGGGGGTGCGAGCCACAAACACCACAAGCAAGCACCCACTTTTGGATGAGTAAGAGGCTGATATTTACCAGTCTCACTTACAGGTAAGGATAGTTGGACAGTTTGAAAATAGCCTAATGTCAGTCAACCAGGAGAGTGTTTTACCTTTGATGTCTTTCCTAGGAAATATAGAAATTAATTTTTTCACTTTACCCTATAAAGTGTTTCAAAGAGAAGGCTACTGAATGGTTTATATTAGCATACCTGAAGTAAGAAACAAATTAAACGGGTGCTCACCAAACATGTTCTGAAGGACATTACTGGACTGATCAAAGTTTCTGATGATATTCATTATCCTTTAAATTTGAGAGACCTATGTCCCTACCTCCTTCCTGTCAAAAGAATTTTAATTTCTCTGTGATTATAGAAAAGAGATATGATTTAAAAAATATATCACAGGGATAACTGTCAGAGTAACAATACTATTTTAACTTGAAAACTGCCCAAAGCCTGACTGCATGTTCTTATTACATCCTAGCTGTACTCTTTATGGCACTGAAAAGGGAAATCTATTTATTCCTTATTAACAGGGACAGAGAAAGACCTTCAGCAACCCTAAACACTGAAAAGCCACCATCCCCCATCATCTCCAATGAAAATAATACCAGCTATACAATACAAAATATAAATGTGTTCTGAAATTAAAATGGCTGCTTTCTAGATTAAAAAAAAAAAAAGCCACACCACCCTCTTCTAATAAGAAATCCCAAATGTACTGAACTGTTAGAACTAATTAAATGTGTATTTCATATTCTAATTAAAGAAAAGAAACTTACCCATAAGCAACTCCTGCTATGGTGCACTTCTTAAACTGCATTACATTACATGTCAGAGTACCAGTTTTGTCAGAAAATATGTATTTAACCTAAAAAATGTTTAAAATTTGTCATTAATATTTCAAAAGTTTTTTTATGCCAGTCTTTTACAGAGGAAAAGACCCTTAAATATACTTTTTATCAACTTTGTTACGTTGCAAAGGCACAATGAATGTTATTTACTGACTACTTTCTCCACATTCATTAAGGAATATATTCAGCTACTTTTTAGTATCTTAGCAATGAATCATCTCATATATGAATACTAAAGACTATCGAGATATTTTAAAAACTACATTATATAGACATATGCCTTAGTATGGTCTGAATTTCCACTAGTAAGTGACACTACTGCTACTTAACATTTATAGAGCACTAAAATATCAGCATTTCTCAACATAAGCAATTGTAAAATTGGTGATAGCTTATGCAATTAACTTCATACAACATCTAAATTGGTAAGAAAGAGGATAATTTTGGCTTAAATGTTATTTGAAAAGAGTTGGAAATGGCAATGGTACAAAAAAAGAAAAATTTTTTCACCTAACATATGTAAGTGGATTTCAAATAGACACATATGTGATACAGTATGAATTATAAATCTAAAATTCCTGTTTGACTAGACTCACACAACTTCATTGATGAACTTAAACTATTCCTTCCTTCCGGGTTGGAAGCTATGAACAATTCTAATACTATGTTTATAACCAAAAAATTGTCCATATTTTGCATATTTTGAGGGACATCCATGGGCTTGTGCAGTACCTTATCTTGAGAGCAAAACGTGCTTTAAATAGCATTTTAAATACTTTATTTACTAAAAATGAAAATTGTTAGTCATGTACTAACAAATGTATTTATGCAATTATTCAAATAATGGAAAATTAGGAGCTGTCAATTCATCTGAAGTTGCCACAGGAGGCAGACATCTGACTTCTAATTCAACATACATCAACAAAAAGTTGAGTTTACCTGGCCAAGTTCTTCATTTAGATTGGATGTTCGAGCCATAGCGGCAGTATCTGTGGGTTCATAATGCATGTCGATATCCTTTAAAAAAAAATTAAAGAAATCATGGAATACAACTGGAAATAAAGGATTGGGTAAAATTAAGAAAAAGAAAATAGTATCCTCATTCTTTAATAAGTCACTGTTTAACTGGTGAGCTATATCTAACCACTCTCATTTCTTGCCATCCTTAAGCCATTCTGAAATTTGATTTTTCTTTTTTCTTTTTCTTTTTTTTTTTTTGTCTTTTGTCTTTTTCCGTGTCCGGCAACGGATCGCAACCCTCAGTGTTGCCCCCGTACCGGACCGGGGACCGGCAACGGGATCGCAACCCTCGGTGTTGCTCCCGCGCCTCGCTCAGCCAGTGAGCGGGAACCGGTCTGTATGTGGGATCCGAACCCTCGGGCGGGAGCGCCACCGCGCTTCCCAAGCAGCGCACTTATCCAGTGCGCCACCGGGCCGGCCCTGAAATTTGATTTTTCTGAAAAGTACTCAATACAGAATATCATACTTCATAGTAAGGATAGAACAGTATGGTAGTTAGTACCTATCTCTGGAATCAGGTAATCTAAGTTTACTATCATTCCACCATTATATCAGTGACCTATTTGTAGAAATGAAATGAGATACGTACATCGAGTGCTTCCTGTGGTGTTTTACACTAAGTAAGTGGTTAATGACATGCGCTAGAAAACAGCAACTAAATATTGCTCAAATAATTAGGTCCTCAACCCCCTGGAAAAGTTACTCAAGAAATTCTATCTGGTAATACTTTCTGGGCCAAGTTTCTTGCACTCTATATACTTGAAAGCAAAATAAATGCACTTGATAAAAGCCAAATAAAAATGTAGAGTTTTAGTTCCTATTTGTACTTACATTGTGCCCAGTAATCATGAAATTTTATTATATTATCTTATAAAATTAGTATTTTCTATTGTAGAATATTTTACTGACAAGCCAGGGTTATAGTTTACAGATTTGCACATGTCAAATGAAAAGGCCAAAGTCTAAATCAAAGCCAATCTCTCTCCTGTCTGTATTCTGAACTGATCAATATCATTTCTGGAATAGGCAGTTGAGGGTGTGTGTGTGTGTATGTGTGTGAGGGTGTGTGAGGGTGTGTGTGTGTGTGTGTGTTACATGCCATGTTTTAAGAGAGACATTAACCACCTGGGCCATATTCTGAGAAGAGTGACCAGAATGGAGATTAATCTGGAAATCATATGGAATGACGAACAAAGAAAGGAGATAAAGGATGTTTCTTTAGGGAGAAAAAGATACAGTAGAAAAATAGGCATGATAGCTGAGTTCAGATATTTTGCAAGGCTATTATTCAGAAGGAAGATTAAAAATTTTTCATGATAGATCCATTGGGCAAAACCAAATCAAAGGAAGACAACTACTAATCACATTTTTATACAAGGAAGAAGCTGCCTTGTAAGAGAAGAATGGAAAACCAGACTTCCATGTCAGGAATATTATAAAATCTCTGTATGTTAGAAAGGTGGCTGAAAAGCATAAGCCAGCTGAGTTCACTCAACAATAAAATTATATAATTATTTGAAGCAAATACTATTTTTGAAAATCCAAATAATAAAGTGATCAACTAGTTATTTGATCTTCACAATGAATTAGCTTATTTTTATAAGTGAGAACCTTCAGTAAGTTTTAATTGTATTTGTACACATTTTATTACACAATCCTGTATGAATGGGTCTATGCCTGCAGTTCATTTTAGATTTCTAAATTACACTGATCTTTACCAATGAATTAAGAGATTGACAGTGTAGGTGGATCATATGCCACAGGAAGATAATCAGCAGTTGCAAAGTATCATCAGTTATATTCTTAAAAATCCTAATATTGTTCATATTGAAAGACTTTAAAATGATTTAAAAAGAAAGAAATATCAAAAATATCACAAAAAATTTTCAAAATAAAGGAAAATTAAACTTTCTGGCAGATTAGACCTGAATGTTTATTGATATTACATAGATTCATTAATTTTAGCTTTGGTAAAAATAAAGTTACAAGAACAACATATTTTATCTTAAAAAGTTAGGGAAACAGATAACACATTTTTCCAAGTGTGTTATTAAAAAATATATGAGAAAAAAATTAAGAAGACAAAATCATATGTTTATTTATTATTATTATTTTTATTTTTTAGCTCTCACTTATGAGTCAGGACATTCTGTATTTTTCTTTCTGTGTCTAGCTTATTTCACTTAACATCATTTTCTCTAATTTCATCCATGTTGCTGCAAATGACAGAATTTCATTCTATTTTATGGCAGAATAGTATTCCATTGTTTGTAAAATTCAAGCATAAGTGAAATTGTTTACGGTGTGGAAAAATAAACTATACAGATGAATAAACATGATACACAATCTGGTTGGTAATAGAAGCAAATACGTTATTTGTATAGTGCTTGATTGTTCATGAAGCTCTGCTGTGTCAAGAGACTCCCTGATTTATACAAACACCATGAGACGTAGGTAATATATGTTTTATCTTCCCTCTGTTAGTGTCTAAGAAAATGATTTTCAAAGAAATCAAGTAACTTGGCAAAGTTTACACACCTAGTAATTTATCATACTAGAACTACAATCCAGATATTTTAACTCTAAACTCTGGGTTCTCCTTTCCTCATGATCACCATGTATCCCAAAACAGATTTCCTTAACGAGAGACCTATTTTTCCCAGGATGTCTGGTCTGTAAGCTTGTGTGATTCTGAAATGAGGGACTATATTATAACTATATAAGGCACAAAAATGTCATCTTGTAGTCAATAACAGGTAGGTATAATTAAGATTTTTTTTTCTCTGAAAGATCAAAAGACCCAATCATAAGAAAAAAGACAAAATATATGCTTATGGTGATGACAAACAATAATAATTCATACTTACCCAATTTATGAAGTATGCCTGGGTAAATTTCACCACTTCTAATGTAACCAACAAGCTGATAGGAATGAGATTGTTGAAAAGTATAATGAAGGTCAAGAAATTCAGTCCAAAATTATTAGCACCACCATCTATTGGGAAAGACAGGAAGAATGTCATTTACAGTTTTATATTTTATTTGCATTGACCAGAAATGTAGTATATATTTCTTACACAGCGTATCTAGATAATTTGGGAGAAACACTTTGCTGATAACATATCCTAATTCTCAAATACATCCTTCAAGATGGAATTGCATTAGTTTTCTTCAATATGTTCTTAATCCAATTAAGAGCTGCACAATAGTACTAAAAGTGAAAAGACTATCAAGTATTACAAATTCTGTCCCAAATAGGAAATTCACTGATATTAGGGACAGGACTGAGGATTTATAAATGTAACATTTCAATTGGACAGAATCACTTTTACATGAATTCTTAAAACCATTTCCAATTTATTTATTAGTTTATTTAAAACATTTTTTTCTTTTAACTTATCAACATACAATGTAATTGATTTTTGTGTCCCTTTACCAGTTCCTCTTTCCCCCCTCCCTCTCCCTACCCACTGCCATCAGCATCATATCTGTTCATTTGTCTTAAAGAGTTCAAGGAATTGTTGTGATTATTGTGTCCTCTTCTCCCCACACCCCCCCATGGTTTATTTGTTTGTATATTTATTTACTTATTTATTTTTAGTTCCCACAAAAAAGTGAGAACGTGGTATTTCTCTTTCTGTTCCTGACTCGTTTCACTTAATATAATTTTCTCAAAGTCCATCCATGTGGCTGAGAATGGTAGTACTGCATTCTTTTTTTATAGCAGGGTAGTATTCCATTGTGTAAATATACCACATTTTCCTTATTCACTCATCTGACGATGGAGATTTGGGCTGGTTCCAACTCTTGGCTATTGCAAATAGTGCTGCAATAAACATGGGAATCCAGGTATACCTCTGACATGATGATTTCCATTCCGTGGGTGTATACCCAGCAGTGGAATAGCTGAGTCATATGGTAGATCTATCTGTAATTGTTTGAGGAACCTCCATACCATTTTCCATAAAGGCTGCACCATTTTGCAGTCCCACCAACAGTGTATGAGAGTTCCTTTTTCTCTGCAACCTCACCAGTGTTTATCATTCTTGGTCTTTTGGATGTTAGCCATCCTAACTGGAGTGAGATGTTATCTCAAAGTGGTTTTGATTTGCATTTCCTAAATGCTGAGTGATGTTGATTTTTTTTTCATGTGTCTGTTAGCCATTTGTATATCTTCCTTTGAGAAATGGCTATTCGGTTCCTTTGCCCATTTTTTGATTGTGTTATATGTTTCTTTGCTGTAAAGTTGTTTGACTTCCTTGTATATTCTGGATATATTTGTCAGATGTATAATTTGCAAATATTTTCTCCCACTTTGTTGGTTTCTTTTCACTCTGTTAATTGTTTCTTTTACTGTGCAGAAGCTTTTTCATGTGATATAATCCCATTTGTTTATTTTTCCTTTAGTTGCCAGTGCTTTTGGGGTCATATTCATGAAATCTGTACCCAGTCCTACTTCCTGGAGTGTTTCCCCTATGTTTTCTCTAAGGAGTTTTATTCTTATAGGATGTATATTTAATTCTTTAATTCATTTTGAGTTCATTTTGGTATATGGTAAGAGGTACAGGTCTAGTTTCATTCTCCTACATATGGATACCCAGATTTCCCAGCACCATTTGCTGAAGAGGCAGTCTCTTCCCCAGTGTGTAGACTTGGTGCCTTTGTCAAAGATCAGATGGCTGTAGGTGTATGGGTTGATTTCTGGTTCTCTGTTCTATTCCATTGATCCGTGTGTCTATTTTTATGCCAGTATCATGCTGCTTTGGTTATTATAGCTTTGTAGTATAGTTTAAAGTCAGGTAGTGTTATGCTTCCATCTTTATTTTTTTTTGCTCAGAATTGCTTTGGCTATTCATGGTCTTTTGTTATTCCATATAAATGTCAGGATAGTTTTTTCCATTTCTGAGAAAAATGTCATTGGAATTTTGATGGGGATTGCACTGAACTTGTAGATCACCTTGGGTAGTATGGACATTTTCACAATATTAATTCTTCCAATTCAAGAGCATGGCATATCTTTCCACCTTCCTGTGCCTCTTTAATTTCTCTCAACAGTGATCATGAGGATTTTTCACATCATTGGTTAACTTCATTCCTAAATATTTTATTTTTTGGTGGCTACTGTAAATGGACTAGCTTTCTTGACTTCTTTTTCTACATGTTCACTGTTGGAGCATAGAAATGCTACTGATTTTTGTGTATTGATTTTGTATCTTGCAACTTTGCTGAAATCATTTATCAACTCTAAGAGTTTTTTGGTAGAGGCTTTAGGCTGCTAGATATACAGGATCATAGGGACAGTTTAACTTCATCTTTTCCAATCTGGATGCCCTTTGTTTCCTTCCTTCTCTGATTGCTCTGGCTAGTACTTCCAACACTATGTTGAACAGGAGTGGTGAGAGTGGGCATCCTTGTCTAGTTCTTGTTCGGGATGATATTGGCAGTGGGCATATCATATATGGCTTTAATTGTGTTGAGATACTTTCCATCTATACCTAACTTGTAGAGAGTCTTTATCATGAACAAATGTTGAATTTTGTCAAGTGCTTTTTAGCTTCTATAGAGATCATATGGTTTTTGTCTCTGATTTAATGAGTGTGGTATATCACATTTATTGATTTGCATATGTTGAACAAACCTTGCATCCCTAGGATGAATCCCACTTGATCATGGTGTATAATTTTCTGTATGTTTTGCTGTATTCTGTTAGCCATTATTTTATTGAGGATTTTTGCGCCTATATTCATCAAGGATATTGGCCTGTAGGGTTTTTTTGTTGTATCTTTGTCTTGTTTTGGTATCAGGGTGATGTTTGCCTCATAGAATGAGTTTGGGAGAATGGCCTCTGTTTCAATCTTTTGGAATAGTATGTAGAGAATTGGTATCAATTCCTCTTTGGAGGTTTGGTAGAATTCTGCAGTGAACCCGTCCAGTCCTGGGCTTTTATTTGTTGGGAGACTTCCAGTAACAGCCTCAATCTCTTTTATTTTTATTGGTCTGTTCAGATTTTCTACATCTTCTAGGCTCAGTTTCGGTAGTTTGAGTGTGTACAGAAATTTATCTATTTCCTCCAGATTTTCAAATTTGTTGGCATATAGTTGTTTATAGTAGTCTCTAATGATTCCTTGTATTTCTGAGGTATCAGTTGTAATACCACCTTTTTCATTTCTAATTTTTGTTATTTGTATCTTCTCTCTTCCTTTTTTTAGTTAGCCTTGCTAACGGTTTGTCAATTTTATTTATCTTTTCAAAAAACCAACTTTTTGTTTCATTGATCTTTTGTATCATTTTTTCATGTTTCTATTTCATTTAGCTCTGCTCTGATCTTAATTATTTCTTTCCATCTACTAACTTTGGGATTGGATTGTTCTTGTTTTTCTAGTTCTTTAAGGTGAAGTATTAGGTTGTTTACTTGCCATCTTTCCATTCTTCTGAAGTAAGCACTTAATGTGATAAATTTCCCCCTTAGTACTGCTTTTGCAGTATCCCACAGGTTTTGGTATGTTGTGTCATTATTTTCATTAGTTTCAATAAAGTTTTTGATTTCTTGTTTAATTTCTTCTTGGACCCATATGTCATTAAGTAGAATGTTGTTTTATTTCCATGTGTATGTATAGTTTCCAGAGTTAAGTTTGTTATTGATTTCTAATTTTAATCCATTGTGATCTGAAAAAATACATGGAATAATTCCAATTTTTTTGAATGTGTTCAGACTTGCTTTGTGACCTAACATGTCGTCTATCCTGGAGAATGTTCCATGTGCTGATGGGAAGAATGAATATTCTGAGGTTGTTGGATGGAATGTTCTGTAGATATCTGCCAAGTCCAATTGTTCTAAAGTATTGTTTTGATCTTGTGTTCATTGATTTTCTGCCTAGATGATCTGTCCAATGTTGAGAGTGGGGTGTTCAGGTCCCCTGCTATCATGGTATTAGTGTCTATCTCATTCCTTAGGTCTAATAGCATTTGTTTTACAAATCTGGCTGCTCCTATGTTGGCTGCATACATATTTAAGACTGTTTTTGTCTTCCTGATGGATAGATCCTTTTATCATTATATAGTGGCCTTCTTTATCTCTTTTTATGGTTTTTGGTTTAAAGTCTATTTTATCTGACATAATAGCTACTCCAGTTTGTTTTTTGTTTCTGTTTGCATGGTATATCTTTTTCCATCCTTTCACTCTTAGTCTCTGTGTCTTTAGAGGTGAGGTGAGTCTCTTGAAGGCAGCATATATTTGATTCCATCTTTTTAACACAGTCAGTCAGTCTGTGTCTTTTGAGTGGGGAATTTAATCCTTTTACATTTAGAGTTATTATTGAAAGCTGATTTACTCCTAGCATTTTATTCATTTTTGTTTGGATGTCTTAAGTATCTTTTCTTCCTTTCTTTCTGAGTTTCTGTTTGACTTTTGTGTTTGTTGGTTTCTTGGGGTGGTAGATAAACCATTTTTCTCTTTATTGTTAGCATTTTTATTTTACTGGTGGGTTTTGTTCTTTCTTGAGTATTCATGGCAGTGATGGTTGTTTTTCGGGTATCAAACCCAGTTTTCCCTTGAGAATTTCTTGTAAGGTTGGTCATGTGGTAGTGAACTCCTGCAGTTTTTGCTTGTCTGAGAGATATACTATTTGTCCTTCATTTCAGAAAGACAGCCTTGGTGGGTAAAGTATTCTTGGCTAGTAATTTTTATCTTTTAGTATTTTGAATATATTATCCCACTCTTTTCTGGCTTTTAGTAATTCCAATGAAAAATCCGATGTTATTCTGGTTGGGCCTCCCTTATAGGTAACTTGACACTTCTCTCTTGCAGCTTTTAAGATTCTCTCTTTGTCTTTGAGTTTTGCCAGTTTGACTTAACATGTCTTGGAGAGGACCTTTTCAGGATGAATATGTTTGAGTATTTTAAGCCTCCTGAATCTGAAGATCTGTGTCTTTCCCTATACTTGGGAAATTTTCTACTATTATTTCATTGAATATGTTTTCAATGCCATTTCCCTTTTCCTCCTCTTCTGGAATACCCATGATTCGGATATTTGAGCACTTAAGGTTGTCTATTATCTCTCTTAGATTTTCTTCAATTTTTAAAATTTTTTTCTTTTTTTGTCCACCTGTGTTATTTTGAACAGCCTATCTCAAGATCAGAAATTCTCTCTTCTGCTTGTTCTAGCCTGCTGGTTAGACTCTCTGTTGTGTTTTTTATTTCATGGAATGAATCCTTCAGCTCTACAAGTTCTGCTACATTCTTTTTCACAGCATTGATTTCTTTGTACATTTCTTCTTTCAGGTCTTGTATACTTTTTCTCATTTCTTTGTCTTGTCTAACTGAGTTTTCTTGTATCTCGTTTAGTTTCTTAGAATTATTGCACAAAATTCCTCGTCAGTCATTTCAAGGACTTCCTGTTCTATAGGATGTAGAGCTTGAGAGTTATTATTTTCCTTTGGTGGTGGTGTACTTTCTTGATTTTTCATATTTATGGTATCTTTCCTTTGGTGTTTAGTCACTGTGGCAGGGGGTATCATGGTCCACTCTTTCCACCTTGGTGTCTGGCCTGGATTCCACAGGGACTGCTGATTCTGGGTGGTGGGGACTGGCCTGGGCTGAGGGTCCCATGGGGCAGCGCCTGCCTGTTCTGGAGTGGCTGGCTTGGGGCATGTGGGCCTGGTGGTTCTTGGACCTCTCTAGGCAATGGGGTCTGGCCTGGGGTAGGAGCCCTGTGGCACATGGTGCTTGCCTGTTCTGGTGCAGCTGGCTTGGGGTGTGTGGGCCCAGCAGCTCTCCAGCATTTCCAATTTAAAGCATGCTTTAAGGGCAAACCAACAAAAAGCAACAGCAAAAACAATCCAAACCATAGAGTACTATTCAGCCCTAAGTAAATTATTCTCCTAGGTAGATTATGCTCTTCCTTCTCAGTAATAAATATAAAACAGCTATGCCAGATACATTGTATGCCAGATACATTGTAAAGTATATGAAGAAACAAAGTCATGGTATTATTAACAGTTCTAATGTTGAAATAAATCAATGACTATAAAAACAATTTAGAATAGTTGCAAAGTTAAATACATGCTTTAATAAAAGAAAAAAATTAAGTGCAGTAAGCACTTTACTGCTTACAGTTTAGATTGAGATACCAGTCTTTCCCAGAATGCCTTCGATTCCAAATGGCTGAGCCCACAGAACAGACAAGAGACATGGCAATTAAGATACAAAATAAAATCAAAATTTGTACATTTGTAATCCGTTCCACATTTGAGAGCTTAAGTGGTGGGCTTGTTGAATTCTGTAAAAAGAAACAAGATGAGTAATAAAAAATGTGCACAAATGATTCAGTTGTGTGCACTTAGTATTTTGATGAGCTTGACAAAGTCAGTCACAACTCAATATCTAGAGATGGTGGACACGTGACAGTTATGCAAAACCCATGACAAATGTAATAAGACGTCAATGGTTAATCACCTCTTTTTCTCAAGGCCACTATACCACCCAAGCCTTTTTCTAGGAAGTAAAACAATCAGAAAGAAGAGAAGAAACAACATTCTTTTTGTAGACATAGCTTTTACATTGTGGCAGGTAAGATGAACAATGCACTACATGGCTACTTAAGCAAACAGGGTAGTCTGGAAGCATCTCATTAGTGTCTCAGCTATGCAAAAGAGGCAGAGACAAAAGCCTATGTACTTTGACACCTGGAAATTCTAAAGCATGAAGGTAACATTTAAAGGATGTCTGAGTTTCAAATTTCTGGTAGCATTTAGGTGTTTTACTAAACACAGCAGCAATTCAAGTAATCCTGGCTATAAAGTATAACAGGCAAGTTTCCTCAGTTGTATTTGAAGGTTCAAATGGTAATGCTAGATCTGTGCAAACCAATGCATCCACGGGACAGAAAATTAAATCTATTGAAATCAATATAAAATGAAGATTTATAGAATGGCTAGGGGTGGAATCATTAAGAATAGTCCCACTTGCTTGTTAACATCTTTGTGCTTGTACAATATATAAAGGTATTAGTCCTTAGAGAGCAGATTTTCATTTAGTATCTTAAAATTGAGTTTCCCATACCTGAACACTGATGGTACGATGTAGAGAAGGACTAATACAGACATGTGTAAACATTAGGGCTAGGATTAAAGTTGATGGCAAAAATAGCCTTATACATACAAATGCTATGAAAAATGGCCATCTGATTCACAATTTCAAAAATTTTATAATAAAAATAAATTTTAAAATGTGATCACTGCATTAAAATAAAATTATAAGACAAACACTTTAATGCAGAGTACTCATAATTATATTAATTACATAGACAACTTGTAATAGTTACTGCAATAGTAAATGCTGCCAATGCACCAACAGACAAAATCTTTGAGAGTTCATGTATAGCGTGATCTCTGGTGAAACTTTCTAGTGTTCCTGTGAGCAGTGAACCTTTCTTATAGGGAGCTAATTTCAAGGCCCCAATCACTGGAGTACCAGATTCTGGGTGTACTGGGTGGGGCTCGGGAATCTGTGACAGATGGTCGGCTATGTTTGGTATTACCACACTGACAGCTACAAACGATACATTTACAAGGCTTAGGTCCAAAAGATCTCATAAAAATCCCACCTGCATCAGCTTGGTGTCATGTCCAGTGTAGACAACTATTCCATGAACCCACTGTGTATTTCTCAACTGAGCACCTCGAAGAAGAATCTGATCTGCTCCCAGAGGAACAGTGCTAGGACAGATTATGTTCACATTAGAAATAACATTTTCTAAAATGCTTAAGAATTCGACAGCCATCATGTACTTCCAAATGTTTCATTATTAAAATAACCTTTCTACATTTATTTTTGGAAAGAAAGTAATTTTCCCATCAATAAGAAAAATTTTGTTAAACAGAAACAACTGAAGGAAAGCGCTTAAGTTGCTTCTCCCTTAACAACAAACCAGCCATTTCCTATAACTTCACTATCTGCTATGGACTGAACTGTGTCCCAGTGAAGCTCTAACCCTCAAAGTGATGGTATTTGGAGATAGCACCTGTGGGAGGTAACTGGGTTTAGAAGAATCCACGAGGGTGAAGCCCTCAGGATGGGACACCTTATAAGAAGAGACACCAGAGAGATATCCTCTCTTTGTTTCTGCCATGTGAGGACACTGAGAGAAGACACTTTTTGCCAGCCAGGAAAAGGACCCTCACCAGAACCCGACCATGCTGGTACCCTGATCTCACACTCCAACCTACAGAACTGTGAGAAAAATACATTTCTGTTATTAAAGCCACCTAGACTGTGGTATTTTATTATGGTAGCCTGAAAAAAGTAACATACTATTCAAAATAGCAGGCAATGTTTTGAAATTCAGAGGCTAATTTTCAAACCTATTTATAACTTTTCCTGAATTAAGTTGATTTATGTTTCTAAAATGTTTGGAAGAGGTGAGGCTAGGGGCTCTGTTCCTCCCACGCCTCCAATACATACACAAAATTCTTTAAATTAAAAATAGCTTTGTGAATAATAAAGGTTCAAAAAATATGCAAGATAAATACACAGATCTGATCATATACTTGTGTTGCCATCCCTGCCCCCCCGAGGCAAGTCCTAGTACTTAAATTCTCTAGGATACTCATTTTATAGTATTTGATGATCAGTTATCCAGAATTGCAAATGAATTTCCAAGGATTGGTAAGCATTTTGAAGTTATTCATCCCCTATAACTTAAACTACATTCTTTATAAATAAGGCTCAAGTTGGGTCTTTGTGGTTTTTCCTAAGGCTACACACTATAGTAGATTGTTGGGTGATACAACTCACACAGGGATATAAGAAGGGTACAAAGCTATCACAGACATACTGGGGTTCTTGATGGGAATGTAATATATAAGCTTTAATGGCTCAACAATTCCTATTACCAAGTATTCATTTTCATAAGACATAAAGCAAAAAAGAAAAGTCAAATATAAATGGAAATCCATTTTAAAAAAACATTCAGGAAAAAGGAGGACACAATTCTCCAAGAAAAGTCTGCAGAGAGCACAGAAACTCTTTGTCAGTGGCGGCAAAGGGAGAATGAGACCATCTCTGGTGGGTTTCTATGGTCCAGCAGGCTTCTGAGGCCAGCAGCAGCTTGGGCCTTGGACCTTCTTTCAGGATCCACACAATTCTCTTGGCTCAGGTGAAATCAATCCAGGTGGGTAATACCAGCACTTCAGTGAATCTTTAAGAAATAGTGTATTCCAGCTAATAGAAAGAACAAAGTAACTACATTTCTCATTCTTTATACACAACATCATGCCTTCAGGATCCATCTGGGAGGAAACCTCTCTTCTGTATGTCTTAAAATTGGGGGTGCACTTCAGAGTTGGGAGGGGCTTTGGGCTAAAGCAGATTTCCAAGAAATTCTTGAGAAACTGCTGGACTATGCTCTGGGGTGTATACAGTGCCAACTGTTACTCACCTATCAAATGGGTTATGATATAGCACTGTTGCCTTAGCATATGTGGTGTGAATTGACTGGAATTAGGTAAAAACTCTTCAAAAGCAAAACATACTACTTTTCAATTACAGGGACCCAAGAAGAGCTAGTTATTATCAGATTTCATCATAGTTGGAATCCCAGAGATTCTAGCATTAGACCACAACCCCTCAACCTTAAAGGAATCAAAGCATACTACAAAGGGTCTCCAAGAGCTCTGGGTAATCACTGTAAAAGGCTAATGTGCTACAAATAGAAAGGTCTTGAAAATGTTTCCATGTTCCACATAAAAGAAAGCATATTATATAAATTCTATCTATACCCTAAATCTTGGCACCATCATACAAAGTTTCTCTTTCACAGCATGGATTTGCTTGGCATCAATTTGATGGGGAACTGGTAAGAAATGGAAGCTGGCCAGTTAGGAATGTCAGACTACAGAAACCCTCCTTGTATAACCAAATCTATCATTAGTCTATAACCACATGTTCACAGAAAGATCACTCTGTGCAAATTTTAGAACAACATATAATTACTTCAAAGATTACAAGAAGGCTTTTGGTGGATCTGAATGAGGATGACAGATCAGGGTATACTTCAAATGTCCTTTAGAATTCAAATACTCTAATAATGCAATTACGAGGTAATGAAAGCAGCAATAACATTCCATTAGGCCAGTGGGCTGAAACAGTGCATTGAGCAGACATTTAGTTGGCTACTACAAATGCCTGGTAGATGAGCTGTACTGTAAAGTAGAGGAAGCAGGGAAAGAAGGGAGGCAAGAAAGACCGTACCCTTCCTGCCAGGTCCTGCCCCATTTCTTGGCTCCCCTGTGCAACAAAATGCCTTCAAAAAGAAGTCTATACTTGCTATTTTCAACTCTATCCCTTCCATTATCACAGACTTACTCTCATCAGGCTCCACCTGTTCTTATCAAGCTCAATGATCTCCACTTGCTAAATCCAACTGTTAATTCTCAGCCTCACTGTACCTGACATCAACAACATCCTGACCCAATTTAGTCACTTCCTCTCCACCTTGGTACAGTTTCTTCACTCTCTCTTGGTTTCTATCCTGTGAACTTGGTCTCACTCTTTTGCTAGTTCCTCCTCTTTTCCTAACCTCTTAATGTTGAAGAGTCTTAGGACAACCTTTGGGTCTCTCAATTTTTCTGTCTATATACCCTTTCACTCCCAGTAAGTTCTTCCAATCCTATGGCTTTCAGTCTGTGCCAGCTACTCCCAAATTTATCTCTGAACCCAGACTTCTATCCCAAACTTCATATATATATTTAACCATCTCCTGGACATCTCTGTTTAGACATCATAAACTTATTAAAGTTCAAAATTGAACTGATCTTCCCCCCTTCAAGCCCTCCAATGGATCCCTGTTTCTCTCAATATAACACCCTCGCAATGGCCTAAAAAGCACTATATGATCTGACCTGCTATCATCTCTCAGCCCTTCTTCTATCCCTCTTTTCCTTGATCACATCACTCCAACCACAATGGCCTCTCTAACACTATACTATTACTCCAGGCACTTTCACACTTTAAAATCATGTAATGATCTAACTAATAATTTGCATTGACTATTCCCTTTGTTTGGAATCCTCTCCCTCCAGATATTCCAATGGCTATCTTCCTCATCTCCTATTCATTATTGCTCAAATGCTACCTTCTCATCAAGGCTGACTGCAACCATCCTAACTAAATGTGATTCCATCCCAAGGACTCTCAATCTCCCTTATCCTGTAATATTTTTTTCCAAAGCATTTATCACTTTCTTACATAGTGTAGAATCTTATTTATCATTTTATTGTTTGTTTGTTTGCCCTTTCCTTACTGCAAGTAAAATCATAAGGTGCCTGAGTGTCTGTATCCCCCCCCCCCAATTCATACACTGAAAAGTAGTTATATTAAGAGGTGGGGATTTGGGGGAAGGATTCATGCTCTTCTAAGAGAGGTCTGAGGGCCTCTGCTATGTGAGGACATATTGCAGCTGCCACCTATAAGGAATGGGCCCTTGCCAGACACTGAATCTGCTGGTGCCTCGATCTTGCACTTCCCAGCCTCCACATCTGTGAGCAATATTTTCTGTTGTTTATCAGTTACCCAGTCTAAGATATTTTATTATGCCAGCCTGGACAAACTGTTGCCTTCTTAATGCTGTAAGTGGCCTAGCCCACTAGGTGCTTTAATAAGTGAATGAAGGAGGGAAGAGGTAGGAGAGAGAAGAGGAGAGAAGGGCTGGAAGCAGGTAACAACAAAAGACAACTATAGCTGGTAACATGGCCTAGAAAAGAGCATACAGAATTACACAGAAAAGGAGACAAGAAATTATCCAGTACAATGAACTGCTTGGGAATACAGTCTGAACTCCTTGAGTCATCTAGAGATCACAGGAAAAGACCTAGGCCATGAAGACTGGATAGTTAAACCTATAGCATAAGTATTTTGGCCAAAGAATAAGCCACAGGTTATTTACCCACTAAACAATGTGCCAGAAGCCTGGAAAATCCTGAAAACATCCCACTTGCTTTGACTGGCAGGAATCCTGGGGAAGTCTTCAGCTACATCACATGTATAGGGTAAAGATCCAGCATTTTCACCAAAAGACTCGAGGTAGAATATAGAAATGCTTAAAAAGGGGTTTCAAGGATTCAAATTTAGAGCACAAGAAAATAATATGTACCCAGACTTGGAAGACACTCAGCAATACACTATGACACAGTAAATTCTTCACCAATTTTACATACCCATGTCCATCAAGCCTTATGTTTCCAACAAAATCGTAGAGATGTCTGTTTGGACTTTCACACTCAATTCTGCCAGAAATTCTCATCAAACTGTCAATGTCTTTGATATCTGAGGTTGCTGGTAAGCCCTGTTTTGAAATTTTTAAATAAGCAAAGAATATATTAACTTGTGTTGGGGAGAGGAGAAATTCTGAATTCATCCAGGTCTTAAGATCTAAGGGATCCCATTATTTTATAAAGAATTCTCTTGACTTACACAATACTCCCTGTCAAATTATGATTAAGGGATGCCTTCCTCCCTGACTTGAGCACAGACTTTTGGCACAAGAATAGGGCAGCTTCTGTGAAAGTTTGAAAATATATTTAAGAGACTATAAACTAGTCTGCAAAGATATTTTGAAGTCCCCAAAGAACCATTTGCTTCCAAAAATAAAATTAATATTTAATAATATTAATAAAGTCTGAATCCGTTTTCTGAATCTAAAAAAGAAGATGAAAAATGGATAGAATCTGTGTTCAAAGAGAATAGTTTTGTTTCTGTTTTTTTAGCCCACTGAGGTAGAGAACTCCAAAACAGTTCTTCCTTCTGGCCACTGGATGTGGCTGGCACTGAGCACGACCCCTCTTCTGGTGGCAGAATGAGTTCAGGTCCTGTGTGATGATCTAGTTCCTCACATCCCAACCCTCCCTGTCATTCTCACCATTCACCTAGAACCCAAGGGCATATATGCTTTTAAACTCCCTCTTAAAATATTAAAAGTAATAAAACCTTACTGTTGTTTTCTGCTAGGAATGGGATGAAAAGGAAATACAGAAATCTAAATGATTCCCCAAGAGGAGTGAGAGTATTCCAAAAGCAATGGAAACTGGCTTTTCAATATAGCAAAGCCAAATAATAATTTCAGCCAGGTAAGAAGGAAAAATAAATAACATATAAAAACAATGAGAGGGGCCGGCCCGGTGGCGCACTGCACTAGTGCGCCGCTTGGGAAGTGCGGCTGCGCTCCCGCCGAGGGTTCGGATCCCACATGCAGAACTACTACTACTATTATTATTATCCAACCAAGTGTTGGCTATTACATGAAATAAAAATATTACAAATAGTATCTATCTATATGATGAACCATATTTCATTAGGCAAGTAAATCTAGTCTTCCAGAATACTTAATACCAGTTTATAAAACCTCTTCATAGTGGTTCAATGAGAAAATATCTGAAACTGGACAGAATTACTAACTCAAGATAATAACACTAGGAAAGAAGCTCTTAATTCTACATAATAAAACAGCAATGGTGATATAAACCTGTATTTGATCTTACCTGTCTAATTTTCAAGTTTGTTTCACCATCCAAGTTGGATGTTTCAATGTAGCACATGGCCTGGGGCTCACTGTTGTTTAGAATGGAGAAGCACAAAGATTTAGTGGGGGAAGGAAAGCATAAAAATAACAACTTATTTAAATGCTCAGCTCACTGAAGCCTTCCATTCTAGACGAACCTACAGTCACCTAGCTACTTGATGACTTTCATTCTAACAGCAAGATGTTGTGAGGCAGAACCCATGCATGACAACTCATGGATCAGCTTTCCAGCCAGAAGGACTCAAAAGCAATTTCCTGACAACAATCAGTAATGGTCTTCAAGATAATGCAAATGAAAAGATTTGTCACATTAGATTTAAACTGTTCATCCATACAGACACAACACAGACTGCATCTAAAATGTAAAACAGTTTTGTGTCCAGATTTACCTTTAGCTCAAAAATATCAAAGTGAGATTTCATGCTCATGGCTCACATGTAAATTGGTTAAGAAAAGTGGTTGATTAGAAAATTCCAGATTCCTTCTTCTACAAACTTGCATTTACTACCCTTTTAGCTAGGATGAATATGATCATATGAATCATAATACTGAAATTTTAAGGGTACTTTAAAAATCTACATGAACAGATTTTACAATGACAATGGATATGTACTTTTCTCTCCCTGTATTTTCTACTCTTGCTCTCCTATTTGTAAAACTTTCTTGAGAGATTCTTGTGGCAGCAAAAGTCAAAACTAAAATCAGTCAACTTGGCATTATTGCTGCTTGACCTGAACCTAGAAGATCCGCTTCGTGGGTCCCCACCAGAGTGTTTTAGGCAAATCTGGTGTACAGTGGCTGGTGTAAGGGTGCATGTTCTCCAGGTCTGACCCAGGCTCCACATCCCAGACTATCTTCTGTCTTTCCTTCTCACATGCTGACTTTACTTGCCTAGCAACTATAGACCTGGAGTTTGTAGCCCAACTGTATAATTTGATCCTTAACTCTAAGAAGAAGCATTCTGAAGTTAAATGAATCTAAGAACTTTGTTATGTAATAAGCTTAATTTACCAACATCATATAAGTAAATATGAATGTAGTCTCTGATAAGCATGTATACTCAAAGCTAGAAAGAAAAAAAATTTTAAGTCACAAACACCTGAAATTTTCTAATCAACTTCCAATTTGTACATGTGCAAAACAGTCTATTCCAAATTTCAGAAATGGGCATTTAGCTTGTGGCCTGAAGATTTGTGGAAATTACTTAAACACATGAACACTAATAAAATATTTTACAGATTCATTTTAAAGTAATTTTGTAAGTTGTTCAATTTACTCTATGGGCTTTCTTTCATAAAGGCTGTTACTTTTTTTCAACTAAAGAAGTCTTCCAATATTCATATTTTTGCTCTATTAATTATTCAAAATTTTATTTTTTAATC